TAGTAGTAGTAGTAGGTGGTGGTAGTAGTAGTAGTAGTAGTAGTCGTAGTAGTAGTAGTAGTAGCAGCAGCAGCAGCAGCAGCAGAAGTAGTAGTAGTATCTCCTCAAAGTTCCTAACCTGAAACTATGGCCATAATATAGCCCGAAGCCTGCCTTATTCTGATTATTCAAGCCCCCATCTTCCTTCGAACCCAAGATGCTGATTTTAGGCGTAAGGCTGGTGATCCTTAAATCCTGAAGCGTGAACTCCAAACCAGCATCTTCTGCTTGTGTTCCTTTGGTAAGCCGGCATTCTACGCAAATTCTGCCTCGACCTTCTCCGACTCAATCTGAGAGCAGTGGCATCCTAGCAGTGCTTGGGGCTTTCCTAGTTTGTACTCCCCCCCTAGTAATACTTAGTACTAGGAAAAGTTGCGGACCCAAATCAACGTGCCCAATCCTGAACCTTAATCCGCCCACAAAACCCGATCCGGAAGAACCCTAAGCACTCCACGTTGAGAATCGCCAGGAAACGCCTGGAGGAAAGGGGTGCAGCATACAAAGCTCTGCGGCTGGCCGTCTGGGACTACCACCAAAAGGCTCGGTGTATGTGAGCGAAAAGCTTGTGGAAGCTGAACTCCCGAACGTCGAGTTTTGGGGATATTCTGCTTATGCTTGGATTGGGAGTGAAGGTGGAGGGCCCGACATTGATCTCGTAAAACAGTTTCTCACTGAGAGCTTTCGCAGTGCTTCGTAGAGATTTAGCAACGGCTTGAGGACGTGCGTTCGTATGTCAGTCCACGAGGTCGAGGATGATCCTAGACCCAGAACCCCAGACCCAAAGCTCGAAATAGGCATCCTAAACCCTGAACCCCTAAATCCCTAAACCCTCTAAAACCCAAAACCCTGAGCTCTGGAAACTGCTCTCGCGGTGGTGATGGCTCTAGTGCTTCACTTTCGGCTTGTACCAGTACTGATAGTACCCTAAACCCTAAACCCTAAACTGTAGTCGCGGTACTCGGAGTGCTGGTACTGCCAGTGCGACGTACTACCGATGCCTGTATCAATGGCACCATCAACCATCGTTTCGGGGATTAGGTGTATGGTGTACGGATCGCTGGGGTTTAGCTTGAAGGTTGTCTTTTTGGACTTGGACTTGGCGGTGCTAGGGCGTCAGGGTCCTTTTAGGGTTTCATGCCCGTTTGAAGGTATGGAGGCTTGATTTATGGACTCGCAAATAGAATAGCTGCAGTGCATACATCCATGCTTCTTCAGCAGCTACCAAAAGCTAAACTTCTAAACCCTACACCCTACACCCTAAGCCCGGAAGATCCCTGCTGGAGATCTGATCGTTCAGACGCCAAGAGCTCCAGGCTCTACGCCCTGAGTTGCTTGAGCCCATAGATCATGCCAAGAAGGCCTTTCGGTTTCCGAGGCCTGTAATGTAGGAGCCTGAATGATCACCAAGACTATGTTGGGGGTTTCCTTAGTATAGTTATCGTATAATATACTCCCCAAAACCCTAGTCTCATTCTGAAGGCCCTAAACCCTAAACCCTAAACCCCTAAACCCCTAAACCCTAAACCCTATTCTCATTATCAAGGCCCCTATAGTCGACAAGCCTGGCGACGGCGAACCCCAAACAGGAGAGCCGACACTTTCCGCCCGAAGTGGAGACCCCGAGCTCCAATCTGCTAGACTGTTCAGGGTTTAGGGTTTAGGGGTTTAGGGTTTAGGGTTTTAGGGTTTATATAGGGGTTTAGGGTTTAGGGGTTTAGGGTTTATATAGGGGTTTAGAGTTTAGGGGTTTAGGGTTTATATAGGGGTTTAGGTTTTGGGGTTTAGGGTTTATATAGGGGTTTAGGGTTTAGGGCTTTGGGTTTAGGGAAGCCGACAGAATAGAAGCTGGAGAGAGCCTTGGTGAAAATCCTCAAACCCCGACAGCCGGTGAGACACCGAACGCACCCTAAACCCGACAGCTGCACGACCCGAAAAATAGAAAAGCAAAGGCCCAAAAACCTGACAGTCTAGATGCCCTGCATTGATGCAGCGAACCCGACAGTCCAAACACCCGCAACGAGCCCTCTTCTTTTTTTTGGAAGCCTCAAACCTCAACCCTAAATCCTAAACCCTAGACCAAAAACAACCTTACACTTCCGGTGTTCCTTTTCTGATTTCGCTTTACAAGCCCTTTAAAGAGGTAGCTTCTTCAGGGTCCAAGTAGACCCCCAAACTATACTTATAGGCTCCATTGTAGTTCCTTTTTTCTGGTTTAACCAAATTATATTAAGGCTCCCAAAAGGTAACACCAAAAAGGAACT